GCGCCGGACTGGCCTCACGTGACCTCGTACTGTCTGTCTGTCTGACGTGCTCCATCATCCCAATACCTCCCGCTGTTACAAGGTTGACTTTTCCGGCGTGACCTCGGATGTCTCTCTGTCTGGGTGACGTGCCCGGCCCTCCTAACAGTAGTATTCGCATGCGACAGTCGCGTACTTATTTGGTTTAATCATACACACGGTGCAACCTTCATCTGTCAATTATTATGCCAACTGGCTAACAAGACAAAATTTTGAGGAGTGCGCACAACCTCCAGGTCCGACACCTTTTTAGAATTAATCTCTTGGCCTTGCTTTTCGTCTAGCATTTATTTTTTTCACAACAAAGCTCCGAACTAACATTTTCACGACTGCTTCTTTTTTTAAAGGCTGATCAAAGCTATCGAGACGGAGTTATTGGTATGGCACCTACGGAGGACATGACAATCAAGCTGCATGTTGAACCCCAGACCGGTGTGATTATGCAGGCACAGAAGATGATCCAGGTCAACGCCGTCATCCGCCAAGATAAGCACTTTCGGTGGCTTGCAAAGGTACGGGATACGTTCTTGCCAGTCGTTTATTTAAACGGCACCACGACCGTGTCAGAGGAAGTTGCCACGCGTCTGAAACACTCGCTGCTCTGGCCGCAACTTGTTGGCAACACACTGACAACTTTCTTCATTCTTGCGGGTTCTGTTGGGCTGCTGTCATCTGCTTGTCAAGTGCTCCGGTCGCGGAGGATCGGGGTATTTAGCTCGGTTGGTGGTGGATACGAGCCTATTTAATAGATTTATCCGCCGCCCACTCTTCAGTGCTATTACCGCGCCTTGTGTATTTTCACGGAACGAAGACCTATTCATCTTATCGCTTATTTTTTTAATCTTACGTCATTCTTATGAAGTCTGCAAAGGACATTTGTCGACTCGGGTGTTTGTCTTTGGAATTCTCCCCACCGCCATGCCTGTCAGTTTTGCGCCATAGTTTTCTAACTGACTTTTTCGGCGTTTTCCTCCAAATATTGCCGTCCCCAGCCACCCCCTCACTAACTTCGATCGACCCGTTGT